AGCGGGTGTGGAAATGGTTAGTATTTTGAGGACGGCACGTATAGCTGACACTCATTTCACCACACATGAGAAGTATCTACGCAACGAAGGGGGTCACTTCCTTGTACTCGCTCTCACCACTCAGCTCATAAATATAAATACTTCTGCACAAATACATCACCGTCTTCCTAACTTCAAATTTACCACTGCCTGCGCATGGTATAACCTTGTCGTACGTGCAAAGATAGCCTCGCAGTCTCAACAAAGTTGAAAAGCTTTCTGCCTTAGTTCGATGGGCACATTCCTTATGCTGGCTTGGAATTTATCGCAGTGAAGTCTTGTGCTTCACCTTATCCCTAGCAAAAAAAAGCTTAACATGGTGGAATATTGTCAACTTTTACTATAGCACACTTGTCTTCTACCGACACAGCTGACAACACGTATATTCCGCCTGAACCTCTTGAGTGTTCGACTCACGGCAATATGCGGGCGGTCCTTTCGTCCCCTCAGGCACACCCCAACAAGTATTTTCAGTAACGTTTGGGGACTAAGAGGGAAATTATCAAAGATGGGGATGCTGCTCAAATGTAGGCCCTCTGACACCATATTTGCCACAGAATCCCGGCTCTAATCGGATATTTTCAAGAGAGATGCATGTTAATGGCATGAAACTTCCGCAGGGGCAGAGAACTCATTTGGGGAGGAGCAGTGGCTCCTTATGTAAGCTCTCACTTAAAGAAGGGGTGGTCAGCAGTACTACTCTGATCCAGCTCCCGAAATCTTTATGGTGCTGCTTCAAAGTTCATCATGTCAAATACTTGCTGGGAGTCATATAGTGGCCCCCATTGACTTACCTAGCCATGAGGAAATGGTCATCATGGTAATCTTGGTGGCTTATTCTGAAGGTTATGGCTCCACAATAATCGCAGCTGACTTCAGCACCCGTCCACTTTATCCAAGGTGCAAGGGAGGTGCGCCAGGTCCTTCAGTCAAAAGCTGAAGAATGCAATTTAAGACTGCTGGTCTCTCTGAGAAAGTGGATGATGCCATATGTTAGAAGCCTGACTAAAGTGCATCGTGCCTTGACTACGTTCAGATGAACAGCGGTCTTCCCAGTGAAGACAAACGTGTTCAATCTCCCCTTGGTCTCGGCGATCTTGCGGTAATAACTTCCCCTGTGATCACTGAGGAGTCTCTGCAACCGGAAATACCAAACGCCTTCCCTTGCTAGAGCAGGGTAAACTGTGACACCATGAGAGGCTGTCTCATGAATGCATCGTGACCTGCAGGCTGGAGTCATCTCAAGGTAGATGAACGCTGGATACATGTGGGGGAGGTAGCTGTTGGAGATACCATTCACGATATGGCAGAGGCAACACGCCAACCACCAGTGAGAAGTTCGTGGCTAAGGCCCGGAGCGGGCTTGGTATGAGTGGTGTTCATCACCTTGAACCACAAAAGAAACCGCAACCACCGCAACATGGGGGTCCGCGGCGACAGGTTTAGATACGGACCAAACCAGCCAAGGAGGCTTCGCAGCAACCGCACCAACCCGTGCCGACCGGCAAAGGAGTTAATCTTGTCACAGGCCCTAACGGCAGTGTGCTAAGCAGTTCAGGAGTAGCTGAGCTTCTGAGCCCTCGCTCCGAGGCGAGACTTGGCAGCGGTACCAAATCTGCACTGGTTCTATATGACAGTGATCAGACCATAAATAACAAAGATCTCTGGCACATCCCAGCCACGGTGGAAAAAGTATCGGAAGAGCCATCTAGGCTTTGTCCAGGCAAGTCCCTTGTCTGGGATAGCGTGAGACCGACAATCCTAAAAACCTGCGCTGATGAACCAGCTAAACTGATCTGCACCCTTTTCAGGCACCCGCAACAGCCATGAAAACTCTAAAGAATGGAAGTGTGCGACCTTGACACCTATCTCCATAGAAGGACACAAAAAAGTCCTGGCAACCACAGGGCGATTGCCCTACTCCCTATACTGTCCAAAATGGTAGAAAGTCCGATGGCCGACGAGGTCCAGGAATTCTCTATCAGTGGAAACCATCCCCATACTGCTCGACATGGCCTTATGAGTGATCTCTCATGTAACGCCAACTTGCGGACTACCTGGGACGGTTGGATACTTGGCTTGGACAACGGAAGACCAATACATATTGTTTTTCTTGACATGGCTAAAGCATTTGACAGTGTTCCGCCGATAGTTCTACTTCACGAGATCATGTTAATAGGTGTGAGCGAACCTCCGCTCTCTTTTTACAAAGAGCATTTAGAAGGCAGGTTTTTCTGCATGAAGGTAAACAGAATGCACTGAAAGTGGAGACCATCAATATCAGGAGTACCCCAGGAAGCAACCCTGGAGGCACTTTTGATCCTCCTGTTTGTCAACAATCCGTCACACAAAATCTTCCCGTCCTCCCCACTATGCACTGACGTCATTAAAATTCCGAGGGTAGTGAAGGAAGAGGCCTGCTGTACAGCACTCCGAAATGACCTGCAGTATATCGGACTCTGCTCGTCAAGAATAAATGGCGCAATCGAGAACTAGAAGGATTTTCGGGGGAACCTTTAAAATTTCGGTGATTTCCGTTTTCGACCAAAAGTTTCAAAGTGCTCCCAAAGTGTTTGCCGGATGGGCATTTTGACGAAGAATGCTACGGCCTGTGAAAAGTACAATCACGCCTGGAGGTGACTTTGAGCCTCACCTACCAGAGGAACAACCGCCTTCACGAAACGACCAAAAAAGGAGACGCAGATCCAGTAGGTTCCGCTTGCCTAAATTAGGATGACCCACTGGGTCTGGGTGCCAGACGGGATCTGTTGAAGAACACAATCCTCCTCACGATAAAAAATAGCACTCTTCTGATTCCAGGAAGTGCCAACAAATTCCACTCCTCCCGGCTTAAGTCAAACACGCCCAAACTAATATGGCGTAAACGGTCTTCTTGGAATCTATGGGATTGCATTAATAGCCCTATTGACTGGCAACATTATAGAGACATCCGTAACAGATGTACTATAAGAATCAGAAATGACAGAATAAACCACAAGACATAACTTTGTAGAACCCTGGGGGGGGGGGAATCATGGGATACTGTACTCTCTGATGAAATAAGGGTGACAGTTCACTCAGTTTACAGGACTCCATTAGTTTAGAGATTCCCCATTCTAACTCTGAAGTAGCAAACCTACTAGCCCATTAATTCCAAAACAACTTCTGTCATTTAGGGGGTAAAACCACGCATCAACCAATACCGGTATTACAGAGGGGCTAAACCATATAGGGTTTGAACCCCGCTGTAGTTACGGAAATATTAAAGAATCTGAACCTGAATAAGTCTCCAGGAATTCATGGGATTCACCCGAGAGTACTTAGAGAGCGTGCTGAAGTTCTGTGCGCCCCACTAGCAAACCTCTCCAAATGCTGGTTTCTGGAAGGCTGGGTGACTGTTGTCCCAGTTTATAAAGGTCGAAACAAACTACTTGCCTCCAACTACAGACCTATCTCCCTGATCTCTACAGTTGCGAGGGTCATGGAGAGAGAGTCATAAATGAATTATTTAGTGATCATTTACTTTAGAAATCAAACTTAAACGACTGTCAGTATGGTCCTCTTCCAGAAGGGTCACGTAACACCAACTTGTCGGTGGCTTGGGATAGCTTGACACCCTCTATCGAGCAGAAAAAGCCTATTCACACCGGTTTACTTGACTTTTCTAAGGCCTTTGACGGGGTAAACCATGATATCCTTTGTAAGAAACCTCAGCTCACGGGTGTACTGCGAAAATTGTTAATTTTGATTAGGGATTATCTGTACACCAGGTTGCAGCCAGAGTCGGCTCCCCTCTACCTATTTGGTTCTCGATGCTGAGTGGTATGCCTCAAGGTTCTGTACTGGGCGCACTACTGTTTCCTGCTTTTATCAATGACCTACCAGGGGTCCTTAATTCACATTCACTACTACATGCCGATAATCTGAAAATATGGAGGGAAATGCAGGAGCCAAAGAATATTTCGGTCTTCCAGGAGGACCTTACGAAATCCTTAACTGGACTGTAGAGAAGTGTCAAATAATAACAGCTGATAAACATAAAAGCAGTCCCAGTTCCTACTCTCTGGGTGAAATAAACATCTGTCACTCTAACATGGAGCAAGATCTGGGAGTTACAATAAGCGACAAACTAGGAGCTTCAGTCCACTGTCACCTTGCAGCCAATAGGACTTGTGGAATCCTGGGGTTTCTTTCGCGAACTTTAGGGAGTCTAACTCCTCTTTTCACCACAGTGTATGCTCTGTACATTCGCCCTCATCTAGAAAAAAATTCGCTCGTGATGTCCCCACACTTGAAAAATAACATAACCATCCTAGAGCGGGTATAGAGAAGAGCTACAAAGAAAGTGATTGGGCTACGGTACAAACCGTACCCAGACCGCTTAGTTGCTCTTAAGCTGTATCTAGTACAATATCGGAGGATCAGAGGTGGTATGATCATGATGTACCACATCGCCCATAATCCCCTTAATCCTAACATATACCTTCTGAGCTTTAATCGGAAACGCCACCTGAGGGGTCACGCGTTAGGAATAGAGCCTCGGAGAGCACGTACAAAGATCCGTGCTAACTCATTTGCCGTTAGAGTCTGTAAACTGTGGAACTCTCCCCCTTTAGCAGTTGTTACATCCCATCCCCTGATACTTTTGAAAGAAGGTTAGAGGCACACCTCGAGTCCTATGGTACCAATGGGCTGTACTCACGAAGCTTTCTTCATATCAGATGCAGTAATACTACCTTCAGATCAGATTAACTAATAATCATATCTTTATCCTTTCAGGTTTTTCATAACCAGGTAGACAATTGTGACCATTTCAAACTCAGAACGTATTCCAATAAGACAGACGTAGAACCCAGGGAACCGCCGTTCACTAATTCTATAGCACGAAGTTTGAGATTGAAGACCTCACCAATAACCTACTCGCTAAGTGACCTACAAGTGAGTCAGTGTCATTCACATGTGTTTGACCTTCAAGCTTAACACGTGAGTTCGGGCAGGTACCTCGTTTGCACAAGGCGTGGTTCACGCTGTTTGTAGTTTTCTCCCTGTTATAAATTTTCTGTTTTTTTTTGTAATGGCGTTTCTGGAATTGCTTGCCATGCACCCAAACAGATCATTTTGGGGAAATTTTGGACAAGCAGGCACTCCTCACGCGGAACCGCATACACCAAACTGATAAAAATGGGGAAAATAGGGAAAACGTGGGGACGACAGGGGGAAAAATGGGTAAAACTTGCGCTAGTGGGGTATTTCAGGAGGAAACGGAGAAAACATGGGGGACGAGGGGAAATTATGTTGATATTTGTTTTCACTATTGTAACACAGACACATTCAACCTATTAAGATATATTTTGCGTATTTCTTAAAATCATTCATTAGGTACTTAATTTTATTATTATTTGCCATCGCCGATGCAAAAGGCTGATGCAACCATAATCCTTGATTTTGATTGATCTGTCTAGTGCAGTGGCTGCTGGGCATGATATAACTGTCGTGCCTGAACTTCACAGTGACTTTAGATCTACTCAACATATGGAGGCACCACTCGCTATTGACTTCGCGAACAAACCAAAACTGACAAAAACGGGGAAAACTAATAGTGAGTAAATCGAGAAAATGGGGAAATGCAACAAAATATCCCCACTACTGCGGTTTATCCCCATTTTTTCCCCACGATTCCCCCTTCCCATCCATTTCGTCCCCAAGTTTTCATCCTTATCCCCATTTCTGCCCAAAGATTTTCCCCAATCGCTTCCATGATTTCCCCCCTTTTTCACAATTATGCCCCCACAATTTCCTACTTTATCCGCACGTTTTCCGTCGCTTGTCTAAATTTTTCCGCAACGATTCGATACTTCATCAACACGATTTTTCTCGCTTGTCTCCATTTCTTCACCAAAATTTCATAGTTTATGCACGCCATTTCTCTTGTTCGTCCCCACGCATTCCTATTCTAACCGTTGTCCATAGTTATTCACCCCGGTTTCACAATTCCTACGCTTAATTACCACAGACCTTCCCCTATTTTTTCGTGAACGGTCTCACGTCCTACGTATTCGCCTTTTGTACGCCGAATTTTTCCTTTCTTTCCTAATTATAAGTAATAATTACGGACGTTGGAATGTTTAGTCCCCCGACGTGTTTACCCATTTACTCACATAAGTCTCTTTAGTGCTTACGGTATTACGCTTTTACATTCCCTGTGGAACGATGCTTTATACCTAAGCCAAAAGTACTCCCGCGTACGCATGCTCCTCGAAGAAGACAATTGGTAGAAAAATTGTATATGTATATTCCAAAATAATAACCAAACATTTCAATTATTTATCTCGTACTTTCAAAGCAGTCGCGAGATTTATCACCAGCCGTCGCATGCATCACCTGTGGGAATAAAAGACAAACTGTTAACTGCAGTTTCCCTATACATACAAATTAACTTAACTTTAATCTACATTTTAATGAATGATTGAAGGCATTAATAAACATCCGTGTTACCAGTTACGTTGTTTTTTTCCGTTGGTAACGCCTGCTGATTTTATCCCTCAAATCATGGAAATAGGATTTGGTAGTTAAATCCATGATATTTTCAAGTTCATTCTCGCTCAGAGTTGCTGAGATGAACCTACTTGCAACAACGGCTGTGGGGATGCAATTATCAATTTCATACGTACCCCTCATTATCTGATATAATGATAACGTATTAAAGGCACCTTTCGTCGGTGTTCCACGGAAGGTGTACTTTACTGCCAACGACAGAGTGATGATTGTTGTTCCACTCCCTTATGAGCCTTCAATAATTGTAACATTTCCATTTGCCGTTTCTCCACACGGCAAATGCACTCTGTATGGGATAGGTTTGAAGGTAATGGGGGTACCTGTTAGCTTGGTGATAGCGGACAGTAGAGTGTTTTGATCCGTCTTCAAGCTATTGCGGGAAATTGGTGTTTACTGAAAAAATCACTTACGTGGTGCTAACATGCATTGGCGATGAAGTTGCAATTGGATAAGATGTAGTAGAAGGCCTGAGAAATTAATCATAGATTGAATGCTTACCCAGCGACATGAGATATTTCACTTGTAAGGAAATTTGTTATTGGATACGTTGATGGGACAGACTTAAGCTGCATTCTATAGACGTCCATATCCACGGAATCATCTACGTATTCCGTGGTTTCTTTACTTTTGACCCTAACGGTAAAATATACGTGTGCATAGTTAATCTTACCGCTTTGATCTCTTTGCAGGTATCGGAAGAGTATCTTCATCATCTTCCCCGTCATACGCGAAAGCCTTACGAAGTATACGTAATTGCTTTTTCGCCTTAGCAAGCGATCCTATATTTCGTAAATTGACTACCTGGTTAACTTAACCACTTTCATACAGACTGTTGTAATTCATCAGCTTCCAATCGGTTTTGGTCGCGGGTGGGAATCTAAGTTAAAGGATTGAATGTCCTCTGGCAGAGGACAAAGGTTGTTCGACAGAAGCCAATCAGTTGGTACAAGTACCATGCACTTCTTCTCCAGGACGTCAATAACGGAGAATCTGTTGCTGGAATACTAGAAAGTAATTTTACATTAATATAAAGCACCTTAGCGTAACAATGCCGAAATGGAACTACGTATATCAATTACGGTGTTGCATGTGCACTGATAAATAAGCTGATAAGGCAATTACCACCTGAGTTTCCAGTCATAAGAAAGCACAATGCAGATTGGTGATAGATAAGCTACCTATCAGAAATGGAAACGCGACGGAACCGTGAAAGGCCGTAAAAACCGGAAGTAGAGCTCAACAATTGCTAGTCTATACAGGTCAGACTCCATATTTTTCGCGATAACTTATTCATTGGGAATAGTGCACTAGATAGATCATTCAAAATCAAGGATAATAGTTGCATCAGCCTTATGCACCAGCGATAAATCATAGACCGATGACAACCAGATAAATTAGACGTTTATTCGTTATACAAATCTTTAACTTGTTTCCTTTTCACTCATTGTTTTGTGAAAACTTGTAGTCGAAGTCATTGTCCAATAGTAGTACAAGGTGTTCTTTTAAAAGACGTCTAATTTATTTGGTTGTCATCGGTCTACGATTCATCGCCGATGCAAAAGGCTGATGCAACCATAATCCTTGATTTTGATTGATCTGTCTAGTGCAGTGGCTGCTGGGCATGATATAACTGTCGTGCCTGAACTTCACAGTGACTTTGGATCTACTCAACATACGGAGGCACCACTCGCTATCGACTTTTGGGAACAGACTGTGACGAATGGTATGTTAACATACCACTGACAATTGTCAATGTGTAATTCATGAAGCATTTAGATACTGCAGCAATTGCACTACATTAAGAGACTAGTAAACCACTGCATGATAGGCTTACAGATGTTTTTATGGAAATGATATTGGTAACAAACATGTCAGCGGTTGATGCTAATATGATTTTGGATCTCTTCCGAAGATTTTTACCTATGCTACCAAAAAATGTTCGGTCGGTATTGAGAAACAATGGCACATGCGAATGCAGGATAATAGCGAAAGGAATTTATTATCACATTGGGTTTAAGGAAAATTTGATTCATTATGTAGATTCGTGGTTGGATAGCTGTTCTTTCGAAAGTGTTGAATTGCAACTGAACTGTGATGGCTTGTCGAATGCCCGAAGTTCGACTCAACAGTTGTTGCCTGTTCTCAGTAGGATAACCAGCCCATTTTTCAGTGACGTATTCATTATCGGGATTTACGGGGGAAGCAGAAAACCTAGTGATTTCAACCAATTATCACGGGATCTTGTCAGCGAGCTTGAAGATTTTTATGTCAATGGCTTAATGCTGGCGAGGTTAGGTGAAGCGTTGACGGTTAACGTTACTGTAGTAATTTGCGACTCACCAGCTAGAGCTGGTGTGAAACAGACTGTGAGTCATAATGGCAAAGCAGCCTGCGACAAGTGCTTTGTAATTGGGTCTCGTATACACGGAAGGATGACTTTCGCCAATGGAGAGAGTATGACCTCAGAACGGATGCCAACTTCCGTCGTCGTAGACAGAGTAAGCATCACTCCGGGATATCCATTTTCGAGAGCTTAACCATAGATATGGTTAAAGTCTTCCCATTAGAACCTATGCATTTTATATATCTCGGAGTAGTTAAGAAACTGGTTAGTTTATGGCGGGAACTTCCTGCCAGACGTCAGAGTAGAATGAACCATAAGATCATATTTGCCATAAATGATGCTAATGGACATTGCGAAGAACGCACACCTGTGGAATTTCAAAGGAAATGTCGTTCTATGGATGAGTCGACGGAATGCAGATTTTTTCTGCTTTATTTAGGTCCGGTTATACTGAAAGATGTACTTCAGTTACCTTTTTTTATAAACTTCAGGCGGTTGTCGTAAGCAATTTATCTGCTTGGTCACCCTAAAATTTATAAACATATTTAAGGTGCTCGTGTAGAATTATGCAACGTTCTACATGAATACGAAGCGTGTTACGTTGCTGAACATTTGGTGTACAACATACATTCTCTCAAGCGTATACCTGACGATGTGACTACCCATGGTCCCCCGGAAAATTTTTCCGCATTCCCCTTCGAATCCTACATGCGTAAAATACGAAGTGTACACTCGGGATTTGCTATTGCCAAACAGGCAGCACAGCGTTCTTTTGAGCAGCTGTACATGGAGAAGCTTGCCAAAGCAAAGAGACCCTGTGCACTGTAGACTGTTTGCATCACACTTAATCAGAGGAAGGAACTAGTTATTCACAGGGGGTAACCTATGCGTCCTATTGCCTGGATAATGTGGTGCTTATTGACGGGAAGCCAGGATTGGTCACCGAGGTTGGGGAAAAAGGAGTTTGGTTTCGAGCTTTTAAAGATCCATGTGACTATTTCACTGAGCCTTTTCCTTCACGAGATTTAGGCAACTTTCGGGTGTCCGTAGTCAGTCATGAGACTATGTGGACCGCTGTTAGTAA